ATTATTTGGAAGCCTGCACTCACAAACAAAAAAATCTCCACACCACAAGCCAGGCAAACACCTGGGCACAAACAGATCCCCCCTGATACCTCCAGCTCAACCAGGCACCCAGATGAAACCTAGCTTCCTAATAAATGATAGCCGTCCATTTACTCCCAAACAATCAGGATGAAGAAAAAACCATTCTGGCACAGCAGTAGGCTAGCCCCAAATTTAAAACTGAAATGGCTGTGAAAGTCTGACTCACAGACAAACACAATACAGAAGCCTGATGATGGCAGATGAGATTCTGCCGAAACGTTGCTACAACTTTAAAAGCACAACTATAATGACATGGGAAAATACCCGAACAAAGCTGAATACCATATATGTGCAGTTTTTTAAACCGGCATATAATGTTGAAGTGTGTCGATGCCCTTTTTTTCCCCCAGAAACTGGGAGACTGTAAGTTTTAACCAGCCTCCCCTCCTTAGAAACAAAGCCAGCATGATGACCTTGAGGTCATCTCTCACCCTAGGAAACAGGCAATGGCAAATCACCTCTGAAACCTTGCCAAGGAAACTGCAAGGACTTGTCTAGGTAATTGTCAGGATTCACCATTGACCCAAATATTTTCGGACATGTTGCTTACCTGTTCAAAGTTATCCTTCTTCTAGAATTGTTTTTGCTACAAACATACCTCAACTTACAACCATTTGTTTAGTGACTGTTCAAAGTTATAATGGCACTGAAAAAAAGTGACTTACAACTGGTACTTGCATCCTCATGGTCACGTGATCAAAATTTGGGCACTTGGCAGTGGGCATCTATTCATGATAGTTGAAACATCCCAGGGTCATGTGATTGCCATTTGCAACCTTCCCAGCTGACTTCCAACAAAGTTAATGGGGGAAGCCAGATTCATTTAACAACTGCATAATTCACTTAACTGCAGTGATTCGCTTAACCATAGCAAAAAGGTCATAGAAATGGGTATGATTCACTTAACAACTACCTTGTTTAGCAATGGACATTCTGGTCCTAGTTGTGGTTGTAAATCAAGAACTACCTCTATTGTTTTGCCTAGAATTTTCTTAAAATATATGGTCTATTTTAATTGTCTTAAATAACACATTGCTTCTAAAGTGAATGCTTTGGTGTTTGCAAATGTTGTGCATAGATTTAGCTGCCTGGTTCACATACCATGATATACTAAAATATGGTTTGCTGTTTGTAATATGGTATGCTATATAAATTTAGATAATGTGGTTTATTAGCCATGGTTTGTGGCTTAGTGTGGTGTGCAAACCAGTGGTGGGATTCAATTTTTTTTACTACTGGTTCTGTGGGCATGGCTTGGTGGGCGTGGCAAGGGAAGGATATTGTAAAGTTTCCAATCAGAGGTGGTATTTGTCAGTTCTCCAAACTACTCAAAATTTCCGCTACCGGTTCTCCAGAACTGGTCAGAACCTGCTGAATACCACCTCTGGTGCAAACCCAGTAAACTATTTATCATCTTAAGTAGATGATGGAGTTCCGACCAAGATTTTTTGAGACACTAACAAACACATTAGTCCCAAAACCCTTTTTTCTTTATTTCAACAGCTGTGAATTTTAGTCATTCACAGCCAGTAATAAGTCTTAAACAGTTTGTAAATAGTCCCATGGAAGTCTGCCAAAGTCCTTCAGGATAAGTCTGATAAGCACGCACCTTTATCTTCCATGAAATGCTGCCAACGACTAAATGTCCAATTAGTTATATGAAGCCAAACAGAGCACAAATTCAACACACAGTTTCAGTACGAACAAAGTTGCTTCCTGCAAAGTTTACTGTCCCTTTGCTCCTCCTTTATGTCTTATGGGAGGGCCAATCACCTCCAAGTCTTACTCCCGAGTCGCCCCTTTTGTCTTAACTGTTCTTGTCTTCTGGCAGCTCTGCGCACACATGCACTGGGAACAGGTTCCCCTTGTTCCTCTGTCTCACTGCTGTCAGATTCTGGAGGCTCCGGAGTCAGCACATAATTCCCAGATGGCCCTGGCCCCATCTCTGTATCAGATGCCGGACCCTCGTCTAAGTCCTCCCCAGACTCCCGGACTAGCCCATGTTCCTCCCCACTGTCCAACTCTGCTGCCGTCTCCGCAGGCTGCTTGTGGACCACAATAGATAGCATCTCATGATATAGATACCAAACCATGGCTCAAGGATTAGGTCTCTTACAATTATTTTGTTGTATTTGTTGTATCCTAGAATTAGATCCTGTATTGATTTTTGTTAAATTCATTTTTTGATATGATTGGAAGACTAATCTATATATATATAAGTGAAATACCACTCATGCATCATCACAAAATCTACAGAACCGTAAAGCCTACAAACTTGAAATCTTTGCTTCTAGGTGCTCACTAAAAAAGGATTTTTCAGAATGACCATCAGAGCATTACTATTTTGTATATTATTATTAACACACTCTGATGCTAAGGAGTTCTACTCCCCCTCCCCAGCTGAAAAGAAATCTCTTCCAAATGCAAAACACAAGCAGAGGAGAGGAGTTTCAGTTTTAGTTTCACAGCAGCAACTAGCTTTAGTACAGAACAGTTGAGCTAAGCCATGCCTAGGCTCCTTGCTGTCTCCTTCTTGCTCACACAGCAAATACTCTTTCAGTTTCCAAACAGCCCTCAACTCTCTCACACACTGACAGGATGCTAGCCAGATGAATACCGATGGATGCTGGTTGGCAGAGGCAAAATTTTTCCCCCGTAATTTCCTCCCCAAAAACTTAAGTCCGACCACATGGTTTCATAGCAAAGCACAGGTATGGAGCTAGCCAATTAATAAACTATATGTTACAATTATGCTTTCTTGGGTCTTTTCCTGACATACATGCATTTAGTTTACAGTTTGCTTAATTTCTAATAATTTTAGGTTTGTGTTTGGAAATATATTTGGATTATTTTACTAAAGTGTTATAACTTGTGCACTGTTGAAGATATCTATTTCATAGTCAATTGCCTTTTTTTGTTCATGGAAAATGTGGCCTGCTGAGGAGAAATTGGCTAACAGCTGTGGGATCAGCTGTTAACCAATTGATAATACTGTGAATCAGAAGAGAAAGATGGTGGAAACTCTGACTTAGAAAAGTATGAACTACAGCACAGAAATTAATATGGGTTTATTCTGAAAAGAAGAAGCGAGGTATTGTATTTGTATACACACACAGTGATATTTTTAAATGACTAGGTAAAAGTTTTTTACTCCAGTGTTGTTAAAGCATTGTAAATTCTTGCTGGGATTAATTAGACCTGCCAAAAAAAAATCTTCCTTTCCTTTCCTTTCCTTTCCTTTCCTTTCCATCATTAGTATGCAAACACTGGATTTTAATTACATATGTGGGTACTGAAAGCATATTTCCATGGCACTGCAAGAACATTGGAAGAATCATAACAGTTTACTCTTCAGTGCCCAATACATTTACTTTTAGTGGAATTATGAATTAATAGTTTTAATTTTGGAAACTCTTAACCCACAGACATTCTTGGCATCATTATTGCTGGCGTTCCTCAAAATCATTAAAACCATTTCACCACCCAGAGTTACTCAGTGAGTGAAATGGAACGGTCTCCAAATTTGATGTATATAAATAAATAAAATTTTGGTAGTCTTTTAAAAAGTAGTGGAGATCTGTGTTGTGCTTTGGGTGATTAGTTTTATGTTGATACATTGTTTTATAGCAATAACAATAGCACTTAGACTTATATACTACTCCATAGTGTATATGGCTGCCCATATGCACTATGGAGCGGTGTATAAGTCTAAGTGCTATGTATTCTGCATTCTAACCACTGCGCCACCAGAGCTCTTATATCATGACTTTATATTGTATTGTAAGCACTTAAAACAAGGTTGTCAAACTCGATTTGAGGGCCACATCAGTTTTGACCTTGGGGGGCTGGGGTGGGTGTAACCATGGTGGGCGTAGTCAGAATGGCATCACTCATGTTGGGGGGCACCTGTGGTGGCTCAAGTAGTCTGCTAGCAAAAACGGGCTCCTAAGCTCCGTTTTTGGCTGCAACAGCCTCTTGCAACCGTCTGCCGGCAAAAACAGAATTTGGGAGGGCTCCACGAGGTGCCGGGAGGTGGTCCTTTGCTATTTCCAGGTCATCCCCATGGGCCAGATCTAAGCAACCCATGGACCATATCTGGCCCCCAGGCCTTGAGTTTGACACCCCTGACTTAGAATCTTTAGATTGGAATAATAACAAATATTGTATAAAAGCAAATACTTTATGTGCTTTTGCTGTTTCAATTAACTGTTTGTTTTAAATATAGGCACTGTGTGTATATATTCAGATAGGTGCTTAACTTTCACTCTCTTAATCTTTATTTGTCCATTTTATTCTAAGCTAGGATTTAAGGTTTTCTTGATACTTTTTTTTTCCATTCAAAAACTTAGTGCTTCAGTCACTTACGAAATCTATGCTGTTAATACTTTTGTGTTACTAATATTTTTTATCCAAATATAGTACTTGGTATGAGTTCCAGTAAATAACTTGCATCATAATTTAGGCTGTTTTTAGACTATTCAAAAAGTACGTAATTGTGAATGGAAAAGGTGAAATAACCATATTGTTGTCTTAATCGGTCTAGGATGATAGGCAAAATAGGCTCACAGTATTTTGTATTGTGACTCCGCAGTCATTTCTTATTTTTATTTGATGACTATGGCCTGTCAATTTTGGAATTAGAATACAGGTAGTCCTCAATTTACGACCACAATTGAGCCCAAAATGTAAGTGAGAAATTTGTCAAGTGAGTTTTGCCCCGTTTTACAACTTTTCTCGCCACATTTGTTAAGTGAATCACTGCAATGCTTAAATTAGTAACATGATTGTTGAGTGAATCTGGTTTCCTTATTTACTTTGCTTGTCAGAAAAATCACAAAAGGGGATCCCATGACCCCAGGACACTGCAACTGTCATAAATGTGAGTCAGTTGTCAAGCATTTGAATGTAAATCATGTGACCGTGGGGATGCTGCAATAGTTGTAAGTGTGAAAAATGGTCATAAGTCACTTTTTTCAGTGCTTGGTCACTAAATGAACTGTTATAAGTCGAGAACTTCCTATATTGACAGAAAGAATATTGACATTAGGCTGGGATTAAATCTTCATGGGAAATCTAGAGAGAGCTGTGTGATCAGGTTGAGTAAGACAAATATCTGAAACCTGAAGGAACAAGAAGGGTAGAACAAGGATAAATTAGATTTGGTATGTTCTTAAACTGAGAATTTTGAAGTTAATGCTACACAGAACTTGCTTACACTTAGTTTCAGGTATAGTTTAAATAAAGCAAATGATACAGAATCTAGGGCTCAGCAACATTTTATGATACTGGCAAAAAAGGAGTCTACGCATAAGGAAGTAATTCTGTAGAGTTTCTCTGAATTTGATTCAAAAACCAGGAGAAATCCAAAACCCTGTTTATGGCACATAAATATTGGCAATATGCTTACAAATATGTAATGTATAGTTAACACTTAAATATTTTTAAGCACAATACCTTGGCCATTACAAATACTTTCATTCTGATTTGACCAAATATATGCATACTTTACAAAGTGCTTTATCATGAATAATATCGCTATGAAACCATATTTAATTAAGATGCACCTGTTTAATAGCTAGCAAGCAATAGAATAAATGACAATGCAACATTGAAGGAAATGCTTGAAATGTATGGATGCCCTGCCTTCCCAATTAGGCAGTTAAGGGGATATTTACATCATTCTGAATTGATGTCCTTCAAATATGCTTTTTTCCTGCCCCTTTTTCTTTTTATCTACTTTTTTTGTTTGTTCTGCTTATTTATTTATATCTATTATAACCTAAGCAAGTCCCTGCTGTTTACAAAATATGAACAATATTAACAGTTCTATTATAAACATTAAAAATAGGAATAAATTTAGAATTAAAAAATTAAAAAATGCAGAATAACAGATATAAGATTTTAAAAATGGGCAAATTAGCTATCTAGAACATTCTGTGGAACAGCTCAGTTTTTATCATTGTCCTGTGTGCCATTACAGAGGCTTGGAAGAATAAAATATTAAATAGATATTGGCTGGGGAAGAACAAGACAGCTAGGTACAGGTCTGATCTGAAGAATTATTTTTCCTTTTCTGTTTTACTAGTATGACTAATCCATCTCCTAAATTGAAATATACCGTATTTGCCGGCGTATAAGACGACCCGGCGTATAAGACGACCCCCCACCACCACCAGAAACGCCCTCCAGAAATCCCCGGGGCTGCAGCGGCAGGGCGGAGTGCCAGGGGCCGTGGGAAGAGCAGGAAGGCTGCAGCCTTGGGCGGAGCGAGGCGAGCGGGATGAAGCGGAAGCGACGCAGGGGATCCGGGAAGCCAGAGGCGCCTTCGCTGCGTCCAACAAGCATCCGAAAGCCGGCAGTGGATATACCGGCGTATAAGACGACCCCCCCACTTGGAGGCATGTTTTTCGGGGCAAAAAAGTCGTCTTATACGCCGGCAAATACGGTATATATATATCTCCCTCTCTATTTCTTTCCCTTTCTCTC